CCATATCAAAATTTAAATAGTCAACTATTTTCCGGCATCCTGGCGATATGTCATGCAGGTATGCTAGTTTGGAGGACCCAGGACGAGACTTTCCACACCTGTTGACCGAAATGTTTTATACTTCAACCTATTTTCTTAAAATTATAGTTTGGATTTTCAACGATAATGCTTAACATGTCCCGATTGTAAATAACCAAACTGCTTGCTCGCCTTCTGATGAGACGATATGTAGGAAAAGCGAAAGTAGGATGGCCCTGGATAAAAAAAAATTAGCCACAATTGAAAGAAACGTTTTACGCATAATCTCATTTTCTTAAACTTGTCGTTGGACATTAACCAATGACACATAACAATTCATTATTCTAAATAATCAGCTATTTGCAAGCATCCTGACGCTATGTCACGAAGGAAAGTGAGACTTGGAAGACTCAGGACGAGAATTGCCCACGGCTATTACCAAAAAGTTCTATCTATCGTTCCATTTTCTTAAATTTATAGGTTGGAATTATAGTGCTTAACATTTCACTATTGTCAATTAACAATGTTTTTCACGAATCCGGACGATATGCCATGAAGGAAACGAGAGACTTGGAAGCCCTTGGATGGAAATAACCACCCCTAAGACTGAACTTGTTGCATCACCCCATTTTCCGAACTTGTTGGTTAGATATTCTGGTAAATAATCAAGATATGACAAGAAAGAAAGCAAGTCTTAGAAGACTCAGGAGGAGGTACCAACCCCTTTGACCGAAATGTTTTTACATCATCCCATTTTGCTAAATTTGTTGATTAGATATACAACAACACTTAATATGACATAATTGTAAATAGCAGTCTATTTTCCGGTATTGTGGTGACATGACGTGTAGAAAAGGCGAGACTGGGAGGAGCCAGGACGAGAATTACCCATTCCTAAAACCGGAGACTTTTATGCATCAGTTTTCTTAAACTTGTTGATAGATATTACCGAATGATACACAACAATTCCCCATAGAAATGATAGAAATGATAAATGATGGAGTGAGTGTGGTGTTCAATACTTTTTAAAAGGATAGTTCCTACCCACAGTAAGTTGTTTTGCAACGATCCGGATTTCGAGCCTTTTAGCTCATCATCAGGTTGAAGGACTTCTACAACCATCGACATGAATTGCCAAAGTGAACCCGCTGATACCTCCGCCAACGCGACGTTCCAATTATCAGCTGATTTTTTTAATGACGCTCAATTTGAACGTGCGAAGCGCGGATATTATAACACAAATAAATATTAGAATAATAAATACTTAATATTACTATANTATATGGAATTTCCATTGTAACTTCCAATCCAACCATAGCCCTAAGAACTTTACTTTTTTAACACACGGAAACGAAAGATGGTATTAGTTTTTTAACTGCATATTGGTCTTCTGAGAATAAAAATTAACTATTTTTTATGGCTGTTTGAACTCGAGTTTTTAGTTTTAAGGTGGGATCTTTTCGTATTTCATTACACTCATTATTATTTAGGAATTCTTCAACTTTAGAAACGTAATTCTGATTTTCAATGATAACTATACTATTTCCTTTATCGGTTTTTAAAACAACGTTGTTGTTACTTTTTAACTTTTTATCAATAGACCTAATTGTACATGGGATATTTAATTTATTTACGTTTAAGTTTACCAAGTTTTGTTTAATTATTTCAGCACATTTATATTTTATATTTGTAGTTATGTTACTACAATCCACCGATGAACCAAGAGATAGTAGTTTTTTTGTATCCAAATCTGTTTTAGGGACAAATTTTAAGCCTTTGTTTAATAAATTGGTTTCTTCTTTATTTAGTGCCATGTTTGTTAAGTTTATAACCCTTGGGTAAAATTTAACTGGAGTTTTTGGATCTTTATGGGTATTTTTATTTTTAAGTGAACCGTACTTTAAGCTTTTGATTTTTTTTAATCTAATATACCTTGTTTTTTATCAGTGATAATTTTAATTTTTGATCGCGTATCATAATCGAACTCATCCCATTCTACTTAAGACAATAATGATTTTCCCATTGTAAATGCATGTTTGCAGGCTCCTGGGCAATATGATCGTGGGAAAAGCGAAATTTGGCGAACCAGGACAAGAATTACCCACTTCTAAGACTGACTTTTCTTATGCATCATGTAATTATTAACCCGGAAACGGACCTTTAGGACCTTTAGGCTTTGTTCTAACTCCTAATTACCTGCTCTCTCTAAAATGCAAACATCCAGAACAAACATTACGCACACATGCACAAAGCTAAATCCCTTCGACTCTGAATCCCAACGACTCTGTCCAATGACTTTTACGTGTGAGGGGTTGGTCGAATAAAATCGCGTCAAAAGGATACTGGCCTTATTTACTGCCGATTGCTTTAATTTCTTAATTAAAAGTAGAAAGTGGGTAGTTGAGCGGCTAGAGAATTACCTCAAGGGACAGACCACAATAGAAGAATCAAGACATAGGACGTGCCCTGTTGGCAAATGCTGTTTCAGAGACCTCATTTTCTTAAATTTATAAATTGGATATTAAACCAAATGCTTTAATTGCCCAATTGTTCAATATCAACGTTTTTCATGAATCCTGATTAAATGACATGTAAAGTGTGACTTGGTGAACCCCAGGACGAGGACCACCCTATAACCATAGCATTATCCTATTTTTAAAACTTGACGGTTGGTTATTTCTCAAAAATGCTTTATATTTCATCATCGTAACTCGTCAAATTTGGCAAGCATCTGGGCTATATAACCCGCAGTAAAAGCGAGACTTCGAAGACCCAGAAGGAAAACCACCTACTCCCCTAGAACGAAATATTTTTACATCATCCCATTTTTTTAACTTGTTGGATATTCAACAATGCTTGATATGACGTTAATTGTAAATAACTGTCTATTTTCTGGCTTTATGGTGAACTGACACGCAGGAAAAGCGGTACTTAGGGGACTCAGGACGAAAATTACCTACCCCTAAAACGGGTCGTTTATGCATCGCATTTTCTTAAAATTGGTGGTGGGATATTGTGTGAAAACCATTGATGCTTAATATTTTACCTTTGTAAATGATCATCTGTTGTTGGCATCCTGGCGGTATAACGTGCAGGGAAGCGAGACTTGGAGGACCCAGGAAGAAAATTACTCACCTCTTATGACCAAAAGTTTTATAGTTTTATAAATCATCCCATTTTCTTAAACTTGTCAGATAGATATTCGACGATAATGCTTCATATTTTACAAATAACAACGATAAACTATTGCAGGCTTCCGGAGGACATGATACTTGAGAAAAACGTGACCTGGAGGACCCAGGACGAGAATTACCCACCCCATGAACGAACAGTTTTATGGGTGAATATCTTACAAGCTTGAAAATGATGATGTACGGGTAATTCTCGTCTTAGATCTTTCAGGTTTCACTTTTCCTGCATGATATCGCCAGGAGGAGAGCCACAATTATTGTGACATATTAAGCATTGCCACAGTATATCCAACCGGTAAATTTAAGAAAATGGTATGACCCAGAGAATGTATGGTTTTAGAGGTGTGTAATTTCGCGGTAGCCGCGTGGTTAGCATGAGAGACTCTCACGCCGCGGTCGTGGGTTCGATTCCCACCCCCCCCCCAAAAAAAAAAAAAAAAAGAGAATTTTGTTTGTCTGTTTGATGAGAGTAGGAGTAGGGTCTGACTTGATTATGCTGTATGTGTTTGTGTCTGTGATAATTTTGTTAATTTTTTCCCTGTACACTTTTTTACTGATTGCTACTGTTTGTTTCGTCTTATTAGCAGAAAGAATGAGTATGTCAGGATTATTTTTGAGAAAATTTTTGGTTTTGGTATATGTTTGTTGAGATAGGTTATGTTGATTTGTAGTGAGGTGTTGTGATTTGTTATTGTGTTAATGCATTTCGATCGTGTTATGTCTTTTTCTTCCTCTGTGTTTGTGGATTTTTGGATTGCATAGTCTACATCCGTAATTAATTTAGCTATTGGAAAGTCTGTTTTGTTGTAAGGAATGGAATGTTTGGGACCAAGTGATAGGAAGTTCTGGATTTCTGGAGGAATGATAGTTTTAGTTAGGTTTAGGAACCATTTATTTGTGTTAACAGATGTTTGTTTGTTGATTAAGTTATTTAATTTTTTGATGAGTTTGTTTTTGATTTTGTTGAAGTGGACGTTGTATGCATCATTTTGATGTGTGTAAAACTCTTCTAAAATGTCTGTAGGTATTCTATTGGCGGCACTGAGTTTTAATTAGTATAATTTTTGTGTTAGTGTCTTAATGTTTTTGATGCTCGTGGTGATAAATATCGATTAACTTTCACTAATCACCACACACATAAAAATTAATACTTCTCCTGGAAAAATGACACGAGTCTTGGAGAACAGAGGACAACAATTTCCCACCCCTAGTACCAAAACGTTTTATATTTTATACCATTTTCTTAAATTTAAAGGTTGGTATGGCACTAGTGCTTAATAATTCAGCATTGTCAATTACCAAAGTTTATCAAGAGGGCGGGCGATATGACACGCTGGAAAAGCTCGACTTGAAGGACCGAGGACGAGAATTACCCACCCCTAGTACCAAAACGTTTTATATTTTATACCATTTTCTAAATTTAAAGGTTGGTATAGCACTTGTGCTTAATATGTCAGCATTGTCAATTACCAAAGTTTTTCAGGAGTGCGGGCGATGTGACACGCTGAAAAAGGTAGACTTGGAGGACTCAGACGAGAATTACCCACCCCTAAAACTGAACCCACTCCTAGTACCAAAACGTTTCATATATTATTCCATTTTCTTAAATTTATAGGTTGGTTTAGCATTAGTGCTTAATATGTCAGTATTGTCAATTACCAAAATTTATCAAGAGTGCGGGCGATATGACACGCTGAAAAAGGTAGACTTGGAGGACTCAGACGAGAATTACCCACCCCTAAAACTGAACCCACCCCTAGTACCAAAATGTTTTATATTTTATTCCATTTTCTTAAATGTATAGGTTAGTATAGCATTAGTGCTTAATATGTCAGCATTCAATTACCAAAGTTTATCAAGAGTGCGGGCGATATGACACGCTATAGGAAAGCTCGACTTGAAGGACCCAGGATGAGAATTACCCACCCCTAAAACTGAAACCCCCCAGTACCAAAACGTTTTATATTTTATACCATTTTCTTAAATTTATAGGTTGATATGGCACTAGGGCTTTATATGTCAGCATTGTCAATAACCAAAGTTTATCAAGAATGCGGCGATACGACACGCAGGACAAAGAAGTCTTAGACGACCTTAATGTAAGAATTAGCCCCCTTGTCCGAAATGATGTAATTTTGAAATTGACAATCCTAGTTTCTTAGTTGATGGTAGTATTTTTGATGGAATTTAGCCCAATTTGACAAGTGTTTTGTATAAACTTTTGAGGGTAGCAGAATCAAAAGGGTTGTGTTTGGCGGTCGAGGGTGGGCGTCGTCTACCCCAGTTGAGGGCCATAGTCACCAGTCAGCTTATGCAGTGAATTTTTTCTTCTTCTTTTTCTCTTTTCCGTTAAGTCCGATTCGGATCGATAGGATTGGTTTGGCCGGAACGCGCCGAGGGCGATCCACCCCGTCGAGTTTGGGGCCTCTCTCCCCTCGTCCCAATCGATAATAATGCGCATGATTTATCGATTTATTAACTGAACTGGCTCACACAGGCCGACGCTCACAGTGCCTCACGCCTCACGGCTTTCCTCGCCCAGTTTTTGAGCCGGATTTTCGAAAAGTGCGAGAAGGGCCGAGACTTGGGATCGCCTTTCACGACGGACTTCCTCCCAGCGGCGGACCAACCCCGTTTCACGCCCAGCCCCAGTGAGTCGGCCTCCTTTTTACAACTCACCCCATAACCTTCGGTTTTGTTTATTTCAACCCCCTGGCCCATGTCACATTTGACGTCTTCCGACTAAATACGAGAAGCCATTCAATTCGTCTTTCATCCTCGCCATTTAAATTTTTTTTCCTCTCCGTTTCATTGATCCCTGGCTCGCCTTCCTTTGACAAAAGTGTCAAATCGATAATATACTCCGCTTGATTGATGACATTGACTTTTATTGATTTTTTTTCTGAACTGCGTGGTGTATTTATTGCTGTATAAAAAGTATCTTTCTTTAAAAAAAAAAATAAAAAAATATATAACTGCCTTGATAAAAAACAAAACACAACGGTTTAAAACAGAAATATTGAAAATATATTTTTTACATTGGAAAACCGGTCCGACAAATGTTGAAATCGGTTTGAAATTAAAAAAGAATTGACATCTGCATCACTCATAAAATTTTAATCAAGTTTCTAAAATGCAGCAATGTCAAGAATAATGCGGTGTTTTAACATCTTTAACATTTATACATGTACTTCCAAAGATCTATTAAAATAATATAATTTTTGAGGTAGAACTGTCGGACTGTATCTGAAATCGGATTTTTCTATTATAAACGATTCGGCTAATTGTACATATAAAAATAAATGAGCAAGAATATTTAGACACAATTATTGGAGTTCAGTTTAAAAAATAAACAATAAATAGATAAAAGTACGCCAAGACAAGCAAATAAGCACAAACTGAAAACTAAACATAATTTTTGTTTGAATTGTAAATTTTTCGTAATAATTTACAAATCAGCCATTAATTAAATTAAAATTGATATTAAAATTTTAACAGTTCTATCCGGTTCTTAATATAAAATTAAGACCTTAAATGATATTTATGCATAAATTTGATGAAGTTAGTAGATTATCCAAAATTAAGACAAAATGGCAAAAACAATCTTTAAACAATTTAATACAAAGATCTAGTAAAATAATATAATTTTTGAGTTGGAACTGTCGGACTGTATCTGAAATCGGATTTTTCTATTGTAAACGATTCGGCTAATTGTACATATAAAAATAAATGAGTAAGAATATTTAGACACAATTATTGGTGTTCAGTTTAAAAAATAATCAATAAGTAAATAAAAGTACGCCAAGACAAGCAAAGAAGCACAAACTGAAAACTAAACATTATAATTTGTATTTGGATTGTAAGTTTTTCGTAATAATTTACAAATCAGCCATTAATTAAATTAAATTAAAATATATATTAAAATTTTAACAGTTCTATCCGGTTCTTAATATAAAATTAAGACCTTAAATGATATTTATGCATAAATTTGATGAAGTTAGTAGATTACCCAAAATTAAGGCAAAATGACAAAAACAATCTTTTAATTTAATTTCAAATTAACAATTTAACACAAAGATCTATTAAAATAATATAATTTTTGAGTTGGAACTGTCGGACTGTATCTGAAATCGGATTTTTCTATTATAGACGATTCTGCTAATTTACAAATAAAGTACTGAGCAAGAATACTTACACAATTGTTGGATTTCATTTAAAAATAAATAAAACTACGCCAAGACAAGAAAGTATCTCAAACGTAAACCTAAAAATTGTAATTTGTGTTTAAATTGATTTTTCGCAATAATTTAATTTAATCAGCCATTAATTTAATTTATTTTATTTAATTAAAATTGATATTAAAATTTTAACAGTTCTATTCGGTGCTTAATCTAAATTAAGACCTTGAATAATTTTTATGCATGAATTTGATTTATTTATTTATTTATTTATTTACGGATCGAAATCCACTATAAAAAAAGACATTTTACAATAACAAAAAATATAAATAATATATGTAAAAATACAAATAATATATATAACAGAATAGGGGCATGGTAATAATATAAATGGTAAATATAAATGATAAATATAAAAATACAATTAAAGAGTAAAAACAACAACAAAAATGAAAGACATAATTACTAACCAAATAAGGCAGAGAAAACAAAATAAAGCTGAAAGACAATTGAAAATACAATAATTAGGTACATATTTAATGAAAATAATGCTCTTTGTAAATATATAATAAGACTAGAGTGCGAGAATTAGTTGAACCAGTAAATGACATAAATTGTAATAATTTTGTACAGTATAAAATATAAAAGCATTCAACTAAGGTTGTAGGTTAAGGTTTTTCACAGATTGCATAGAACTATTGAAGAAGTCAATGCTTGCAGATGTTGTTATTCTTGATCATCATTCTGTGTAGAGGGGAAGAGAGCATGTAGTTAGAGCTTTGGAATTCAATATAAAATAATTTATAGGTTTTAAGAGAGTGTGGAGGGACATGTAGCTGTAGTTGAGAGAGGAGATAAGGACTATCAATGAGATTGTTTAATAATTTAAATGCAAAAACAATATCAAAGTAATCCCTTCTTAGTGCCAGTTCGAAAAGTTTAAATTCAGAGCAGATTCCAGGGTAGGCAGAATTCGGAGGAAGATTGAGTTTGTAGGAAAGTTTTTTAAAAATTTGTTTTGTACAGATTGAAGAATTTTTTGCTAATTTAGATAGAATGGGTTCCAAACAGGTGTAGCATATTCTAGTATGGGTTGTACAAAATCTTTATAAAGATGGACAAAACATAGAGGATTTTTAAATTCGTAGGTGTTCCGGATGTTGAAACCTAGCATCTTCGTAGATCTATTTTTTATTGAAGTTCTTTAAACTTGAGTTTTTGATCAAAAAGCACACCAAGATCCTTTACGACCTCAACTCGCGTTAAAAGAGCATCATGGAGAGTATAGAGATAAATAAAAGGTTGTTTCTTATGAGAGAATGTAATTGTGTAGCATTTGGAAACATTAAGAGCAAGTTTGTTATTAGAGCACCAGGTTAGCACATTATTGATAGAATTTTGTAATTGTAAGCAATCGGAAGGAGAAGTGATTATGGAATAGATTTTCAGATCATCAGCAAATAATAAAAATTGAGCAGAAGGAAGAGCAAGATGGATATCATTAATAAATAAGAGAAACAAAACTGGTCCAAGATGAGACCCTTGCGGGACTCCCGAGGAAGCCGCAAAGGGACATGATTTAAATTATTTTATTTTGACTATTTGTTTTCTGTCGGAGAGAAAGCTGGATAACCAATTCAAGATAGTTCCGGTGAAACCATAATCCATTAGTTTCCTTAACAGTATTGTGTGATTTACTTTATCGAAAGCTTTAGAAAAATCAGTATACACTGAGTCTAAGTAGATGAAGTACTTATTACCCTAAATAAAGACAAAATAACAAAAACAATCTTAAACAAATTAAAACAAAGTTAAACTAAGTAACAATTGGATTTTTTTTTTCGAATTCCCAAAATATTTTACGATAAATTTATTGTCAAGCAAACTTATGAAAAAAATCAAGCAGTCTTATGAAAAAAAAAATAGTCTTGGTGAGTTGTTTTAGCAACTTATTTTATTTTATTTTTTTTTAACTTTTAGTAATCATTTTTCTCTGCCTACATTTAGGCCCTGAACCTATACTTGGGGTTACAAAAACTACAAAAACAAATTCAGAATCCTCCATCAGAATAGATCCAGAATGGATTAAGAAAAAAGAGTAGTGGATAAACCCCGTTTACTAGTATCCATCATCATCATCAATACCACTGAGACAAGCAAAATACAACAAACTGGAAATTAAACATTACCGTAATAATTTTCTAAGTTTGTTTTAGTATTGAAAATTTTTAAACCAATCATTTCATAACACTGATTTCATAAAAAAGATATTTCGTCTTCATTCAAGCTTGAATTCACAAAATATTTTACAATAAACTTATTGTCAAGCAAACCCTGCTTACTAGTATCCATCATCATCATCATCATCAATACATTTTCACTTTATTATGCCAGTAAAAATGTTTTGTACAGTAATTTGTACCCTTGGGCATGATTGATGGTTGCCGTTCAGTGGAAGTATCTTATTGAATGGTTCATTTTCAAACTTCAGTAGAATAAGTAATTATTCTTAGCCACTGGCCAGTTTAGACAAGTTTTGCAGCTAAGAAATCGTTTTTAAATATTTTATATAGCGAATTAAAATTTTCAGTCGGTTCCTATCTGGTGCTGGTAAGATATTTTAAGTAGATGGGCATCCAACATGACCAGGAAGCAGAAGCCACCAGTTAATCGTACATCTAAATATTTTAAATTTAAAAAATATTAATACACGTATATTTAACATAAGTTGCCAAAGAAAAAATTCAGATGTCTAAATCAAAGTATATATTCTTCTAAAGATTAAAAAAAAAAAAAAAACAGCCTGTACTACAAAAAAAGAAATATTGGGAAATTCTAGTTTTCTTTTTTTGTCAGTAACAATTTGTTGTTTTTTTACATACAATTAAAAACTACTTAAGATTAAACAATATGTAAAGTAAGAAAATAGCTTAAAAAAATGTTTCATATAAATATACTTTAAAAAAAGATCACGTTTATATTATTATTTTAAATTGTCTTTGTAAAATAATATAACATATTTTAAAATTTTATATAAATAGTATTCAAAAACAATTACATAAAAATATGTTGATTAAGTAAGTAAAAATAAATATATTTTGTGCATATTTAGATTAATTATATTCAGTAAAATTTTAATTAGGAATAATATCAGTTAAATATGAAAATATATACGTATACATACATACACATTCAGAATTGAAAGATAAATAATTTATATGAAAAACATTTTATTGTTGTAGATATAATGAAAGATAATTTAATTTAAAATATACATAATGGCATGAGCGGGATTCGAACCCACGATCTTCGGCTAGATACGCCGCTGCTCTACCACTTGAGCTATCGTGACCTCGATCCACTCGGATATGAACTCCCCATCTCAACCTCACCTTATGAGTTTTCCCTCCGTTTTGCCATTAGGCCAATGGATGCCAAATTGGCAAAAAGGAGGGAAAACTCATAAGGTGGGGTTGAGATGGGGAGTTGATGTCTGAGTGGATCGAGGTCACGATAGCTCAAGTGGTAGAGCAGCGGCGTATCTAGCCGAAGATCGTGGGTTCGAATCCCACTCGTGCCATTAACTTTTTTCATCTCATCTAAAAACCTTAATTAATTGTAATGATTTAATTGGTCAAGCGGACCACGAAATTAGTGAATATACGTAATAATTCAAGATTTAACATGTCTGCACACTTGACTGTAGAATGAAGAAAAATAATAATAATTATTATTATTATTATTGGCTAAACGCATCATTCTGTCAATAGGAGTATTTTTACTGTAGTTAGTACAATGGCAGGAAATTGGAATGGTAGGAAAATTGTGTAATGTTAGGAAAAATTGTTATAATAAATTGAAATTTTCACATGGTACCAGGTAAAATATTTTAAGTAGGTGGACATTTGACATATAGGAGGCAGAAGCCACCAGTTAATCATGCATTTAATAGGTTAAATTTAAAAACTGGTAATCCATATCCATCACACATCGAGATTGATCAGCATAGAGTATTGATCAGACAATGCAAAATTTAAAAAAAAGTAAAGCAAAGTTTGTACTTCTAAAGACCTATTCAAATAATTTAATTTTTGAGTCTGAACTGTCAGATATACTTGAAATCAAGAGTTTTTCATTATAGATTATTTTGAAATTGTACAATTTTTTAGAAAGAAATGACTGCTCCCACAAATTAGCCAACAAAAGACCATCACACTCTTAGATATGTAATTGTATTTATGATTTGAATAACCTATATCTTATATGCTTTAATGATGGCTTTGGCCAAAGCTTTTGTCTTTATTTTTTGCTTAGAATTTCATTCATTTTTAGGAGGTAAGCTTTATGACAAAAGAGTACAGGTTTAAAAATATTGTTAAATATCTACATTTAGTAATAAAGACTTTAATAATAAATCTTAAAGGGGGCGTCGGTGGCCACAACGGTTTAGGCATTGACACGGCGCTCATCACTGTAAGGTAAAGGTCCCGGGTTCGAATCTAGCAGCCTGACATACTTACAAATGGGTTTTTTTCAAAAACACCGGCACCCCAAGGGTTGATATGACCTCTGCTGTTGCAAAAAAAAATCTTAAATAGCTAAAAACAAATTGCAGAATCATCTGTAATGAAAAGTTCAATTCGTGCTCGGATGAAGACAAAATTCAAATATTTTTATGAGAACAATGTTAAAAAATTACTGATTTAAAAAATTTTATAACCAAAAATTAAACTTAGAAAATTATTACAACAATAATATTTAAGTTCCAGTTTATGCTACTTTTTTTTAATTTATTTTGTTTTTAAATTGTGACTAAGTTTAACTTTGTTTTAAATAATAATCATTAAGGAGTCTTAATTTTAACATTATGCATTGAAAATGTTGCCCTGAGGTGCTGAAATATTTTTAATAAATTTTAAAGAACTTGATTTTTGACTAGATTTAAGTAAATTTAAATAAATGAAAACTGAAATTTCACAATTGCATAAAATTAATTGCCAAAAATCTAATTAATTTTCATACTTTTAAACATTATACATTCATTTTATTGAGATGATTTTTCATAATCATAATTTCAGTAATCTTAGTTGCTTAAACTTTTTAAATAATTGGATTTTTGTTTTAATTTCAGATGATGGCGAATAGTCATTTGGCAGAAAAATACCAACTAAAGTGGCACAGTCACAGTACCCACCTTCACAGTTCTGTGGCAACGTTATACCGATCCGATAATTTTACAGACGTTAACCTTGTCACATGCGATGGTAGGTCTTTGTCAGCGCATCGTTTTGTTCTTTCAGCATGCAGCTCTTATCTCAACCGTATACTTCATGTGAGCTCTGTCGGTTCGTCACCCAGCTCGAACTTAGTCATCGTACTACCACCTGAGATCTCCTATCGCACTCTGGTCCTTCTTCTGCAGTACATGTACAGTGGAGAGGCGACTGTGAGCAACGAACAGCTCAACGGTGTTCTGAGAGCCGGTGAGATCCTTAGGATCAAAGGACTCTGCAGGCACGAAAGGAAGTTCGTCGACAACCAGGAAACCTCAAGAGCCGAATCCTCAAGCGGTGACAGATCTTCAGTGAATAATTACTATATCAATAATAGAACACCGACAAATTTTGAAAAAAATCATGAAAAAGCTGCATGCTCGAATCAATCCTATCGTTCGAAACCTTCGCCAAAATCTTCAAACAATGAAAACAAAGAAAACAACAACTCAGAAAATAATAAAAACAAACGTAGCTCTAGTGATAAAGGTATTAAAGACAACAGAGAAATCGTGGGACAAGAGCCAAATGAAATCATTATAGAGGAAAACATGAAAATAGAACTTTTAGTTAAAGAAGAACCTATTGACTGGGATGATAATGACGAAGATGGAACCATATCACAAGACGAGGCTGAACATGACATAAAACAGGTAATGTCAAAAATGTAATTTATAAACATCCACTACATATTTTTATTTTTTTCCCCCAACAGGAACGATTAATGCGTGACGACTGCGATAATAATCTATATGCTCCACTCACATGTGACATGTGCCAAGAAACGTTTACATCTCCGGCCCTCTGGGTACGACATATAGAAACACATCCGGCATCAGATCTACCACATAAAAGAAGGAAAAAGACACCGGTATTTATTTTTTTTATAAATTCTTTTCTTGTTTAAGTACAATAAGAAAGAAATTTAAGGTGTGTACACTTATTTTTTCATTCCCATTATTCCAAAAAAATCTGGGATTCATCATGAATTCGATCCCTCAACATACATCCCTTGACTCCCCGTAAGAATTTCATTTCTGATGCTTGCTCTCATTATGTTATGATCTCAAATTTTGCTTCACTTTTGTCAGCAATGGGATTTCCATCACTTTGTAATAATTTGAGCTTAGTTAATGGTGCCACTTTTTGGAACCGTCCAATATTTGCGGTTATAGCTCAGGTCACAGCTTGGTGTGCAATACCTGCTCCTTTATTGCATTATCAATTATAATTTTTTATCGAGTGGTTGAAAAGAATATTGAAACTGGGTCCATTTGAAGTTCTGGAAGGAGATTGTCAGGAGTGTTTAGTTCACATCGCCATCATTGATGTAGATGGTAAAAAGAACAGGTGATAAACAACATCCATGCCAGACACCTCGATTAATTTCTATCATCCCAGTATTGATAATTTGGTCTTCACATCCCCTATCACTCCTGTGACCGTTGTTTCTATAATAAGCTTGTTCTTTAGAAGCAATAAGCTGTCTATCCAACATAAAATCAGTAAAAGCAATAGTGTTTGCAGGTTAAACTCTATCAGTTATTTTTGATGAATATTTCATAATTGCTTATTTTTAATTTAAAAGTTTTCAATTTTTCAACAATTAATTTTTTTGGCCTTTAATTTAAAAAAATCCTATATAATTTTTTGTCTGGAGGCTAATTTCACCCCGGTTTGTGGTGTACTTTGTAGCATTTATCTTTCATTTCAAATTTTCATGTAAAATTTAAATTTCAGGGCGGAGAAGAACAGGACGATGATGAGGAATTCCCCATATTGAGATGCGAACTGTGTCAGGGCGTGTTCACATCGCCGGCCGAGTGGGTCAAGCACATACAGGGCGCGCACACCGAGGAACAACTTGCTCTGAACAACAGCACGAAGCACAATCGCAAACTGCCCAAAGTGTCGTGCAACTCTTGTAACAAAACGTTCCCGAGTCTCGCTTCGATGATAATCCACAGCAGGACGCATACCGGAGAGAGGCCATATACTTGCTACGTCTGTGCCAAAGGATTCAACGTCAAAAGCAACCTTCTACGCCACCTACGCACCCTCCATGACCACCTCATGCACCCAGGGAATGCCTCCGTTAAAGATACTTAAACTGTTTTTGTTTTTACCAACCAATAAAAAGGTTGTAAATTTAAGTTAATTTATTATTTTCATATTGTTTATATTAAAATACAAAAAATTGACTGAATACTTTTTTGTTTGTTTTTTGTTTGCTTCTTGTTACTTTTTTGTTTATTTAGTTTATTTGCTTTTAGTCACAATGTGCAAATAGTATTACCTTCTTTATAATATCTTAATGCACATGTGTATCTACCGGGGTGACCTTTGATACCTCACTTTGTACCTAGATTTCACATAAGCACTTTAAATTATTAATGAAACAGCGATAATTAGAAAATCAATAATTCATCAGTCATTCTTTTATGAAAAAATCCAATTTTTTAATAATTAATCCTGGGAGGATAAAAATTTGCACCTGATTTTTTTTTTTTTTTTTAATAAACAAAAAGAAAAGGACACCCAGTTTAAGTGAGAATTTTCAATTTAAATTGAGTAATTCACATGATGTGTTATGAATATTGATTGTTTAGATCGAATATTATTGAATAGGAGGGCACATTGACTTCTTGTGCCGTCTCCCATGGTAACTTCAACTTTTGTACCTTGATTATTTTGTCCTAGTAATAATCTAGTTCTAGAGATTTTCTTTTAAATTCTCTCAATATTAAGAGTAGATGTTTTTTGAATTTATAAAAATTGACAAAAAAAAATCCCTTAAAACTTAAATTGGTATTGTATAAAGTTTAAAGAGATAAACTATGTAAATAGGATTTCGACTTTTTGAAAGAAACAAAACAAAAAACATTCTTTCGTCATTTTTCCACGGATATTTTTCAACTTTAGCAACGTGTCAGCCCATTTAAAAAAATTAAATAATTGATACAAGATCTTAAAGGAATAAATGTAAAAATAAAAATATCCTCTTAGAACTCCAAACTATAAATGTTACCAAAGTTGTTAAATTGCTCAGATGTGTGATTTTTTTCTTAGTATATAAATATTTATTAGTGAAAGTTTTTGAATGTAAACTTTTTTTTTTAAATCAATAGGTGTTTAAAGATATAAAATTAAAAGTCATGTATTACACTATGAAATCATGACTTTTCCTCTTGTAAAGTTAATTATTATTTTTCTATTAATATTTATTTAACTTAAGTATTATTTGTTTGTTTTTTAATGACATTGTGATTTGTGTATATTATTGTTCTTGCTCTATTATATGTTTTGATGTGTTAGTTATAATCGCTTTACTTATTATTACTTAATATTTTCCACTGTACGATTCATTTTTTATTACTAATATTTTGCCAAAATATCCAGTCTTCTTGAAATGTATATATTTTCGATCTTTAAAATAAAAATACAATATATCTTCCACTGAACTTTCAAAAAAAAAAACTATTCAAATAGTTTGTTAATGTATTAAGTGTAAGTAATGCTTTTATCGATATGATTTTCTCATAATTTGTCATTATGAGATTATACATAGTTTGATTGTAATATAACACTGTTTTATAACTTCAAAAAATATAAGTGTGTAAAAATATTTTTTTTCTTCATCACAACCATGAACAGATTCAACGTATTTTATCTTTTAGTTTAATGTTTATATCTATAATAGAATATCTTTTATATTCTAAATTGAATATCTGGGCATTACTGGCAATGAGAATGACCCCCCCCCCAGGAAATATGCCAGAGAGATCAAGAGTCTGGTATTACAAACCAAAGAATAGCCATCTACTCGGACAGCCAGATAAAAGCAACTACTTCATTGGTAATTAAAGTCCGTTTGGGATTGCATTGAGACCCTTTCGGTCAGTTGGAAGAACAACAAAATTACTCTTTTGTGTGTGCCAGTGTATACAGGGCAGAGGAGTAGATGGGTTGCCCAAATTGCCCAAGGAAAGTTCGTGCTATTAACCCTGAAACTTTTTGTGGTATGACAAATTTCCAATGAAAATCCATCATATAATGGGTTAAAGATAAGTCCTTAGTTCAGTGGGAATGTATCTCAGGATTCAAAGTACCATTACAGCAACTAACACGAGAAGCAAGGTGATAGTAGGGCTGTCTGGTCAGACAGCCCTAGAAGCATATGCGTAGATTTGGAGCAGCAGAAACAATTTGTGCCGATTTGTTAGGAAGAAGAAGAAGCAAAGTGGGATAAAGCTTCCTCCATGTCCACCATAAATTATTTAACCTTAGTGTTAACCTTAACAGCAGGCTTTAACCTCATCTGCCTTCGACTCAAATTTGGTCTGGGAATGCCTAAACCCCATCTCTCGGTAGTACCAAATGTGGATGCCAGGACTTAACTAGCAAAAACAGAAGCATCCATTACACCCTATGGGCCAGCATACTAAAAACAGAACTGAATAAGCAATGGAGGAAGAAAAACAGGATGAATTCACCAGGTGCAACATAAATTTCATCAGCGTCTCAACCAGAAATTTAAAAAAAATTATCTCACTCAACAGGCAAGAATTAAGATAACAGGCCTTTGCCAATTTAATTCCAGGATTAAACTGAAAACAGTACAGCCAAGCACTAATGCCTAGAGAAATTAGGGAATAGAAACCCTGGGTCGCAGTGGAAAAGTTGATTAAAGACATCAGTGGCCCCAAGGAAAAAATTATTATAAGGTAAGATTTAAAATTATTTAAACAAAAGTCAGAGAGAAATCACTTAACTATAATTTTAAATCTATCATAATTTATCACTAAAATTGTTTGGTTTTTTTAAAGTCAATTGTAAATAGGAACGAAATTGGATGACATGTGATTTTTCAAAGATAGAAATCTTGATGAATGCGTATAATATTTATATTGAAGTAAAATCAATCTTCAAACCACTTAAAGAAAAATCTAGGTTTGCAATTTAACATGTCGCAACAAAGATTCAGTGACTTACATTTGCTTTATGATTTTGGGTATGCGGAGGTGTCGTATTTCATCCAGCAGTACGGCATCCTTCTTGTAATCGGGACCACTGGACATGGCTATCCTTTCGCACTCCGTCTTCAAGAATAAGTGACAAAATTGTCACTTCCTTCTTCCTTTTGTATCTCGTTTGCTTGTCAATTTATAAATAAAAGTGATTCAATTACTAAGGATTCATTTTTGTTTTTGTTTATTAAACGTACAATCTGTTCAAAATGCAAAGGATTAAGAGAAGAGAATTGATTAATTTCTCTAGCGTGATAAATGAATCGTCACGACAATAATTTTATCTGTCACTGTATTAATGATTTAACCTTTTATCACCTTGTTAATTTGTCTATGATAATAATACAATGCAATAAATAATTTAAGTTTCATCCGTGTACTAATAAAAGGTCACAATAGTTACATGTTTGAAATTAAAAAATTCTTATTTGCAATATGCAATTCCTGATATTATTTATTATTACTCAAAGATATTTTCTTTTGTAAATTTATCTATTTAATTAGCAAATAGAGAGCAATTGACAAAATTTACCAAACCTATTAGCAAAAGATTGCTTCATGATAAATCTGTTACTGGAATAATATTTAAATAATTTTTATACGTGCATTATATTTCAAATAAAACACCAAACCAATTCTATTACAAAAGGTAATAATTTGCACTAGGTTTATCCTGTATAATTATCTTGTGTTTCCAGTTTGCCATAAAAATTTTACCTTGTCAAAAAGGTCAGAGATGGTCTGACATTCATTTTTTTAGATTTCCTATTAACATTGACAGACCTGACATTCGTTTTTCCAGTTTGCCATAAAAATTTTACCTTGTCAGACCTGACATTTATTTTTTTAGATTCCACATTAACATTGTTAGACCTGACATTCGTTTTCCAGTTTGTCAAAAAATTTGATATCGTCAGAACTGACGTACGTTTTTCCTGTTGGTCTTACAAATTTTATAATGTCAGACCTGACATTTGTTGTTCCAGTTTGTCATAAAAATGTTACCTTGGCAGACCTGACATTCATTTTTTTAGATTTCCTTTTAACATTGTCAGACCTGACAGTCGTTTTTCCAAATTTTTCATAAAAATTTAACCTTGGCAGACCTGACATTCATTTTTTCAGATTTCATATTAACATTGTCAGACCTGAAATTCGTTTTTCTAGTTTGTCATAAAAATTTTACCTTGTCAGACCTGACATTCATTTTTTCAGATTTCTTATTAACATTGTCAGACCTGAAATTCGTTTTTCTAGTTTGTCATAAAAATTTTACCTTGGCAGACCTGATATACATTTTTTTTAGATTCCATATTGACATTGTCCATTCCAGGTTGTCATAAATCTTCTATGTTTCTCTAATTCACATTAGATTGGTTTAAATGTGTTGGTTAAAACAAGTCGTCCTCTTTAAGACCCTGCACACATAGTCAATATTGGTGAATTAAAGCTTTTAATCATATCCTAAATCTTTGTTGAGGTCTCTTATGTATGTCCTTCATGCCTAGGTTTTTCTATTTCCAGGAATCTCACCCTGCATAGTTGTTTTTGTGTCAGTTGTTTCTTATTCTTCCTAACAATATCCGATTTGTTTCTGCTGATCTGCGACTATATATATATATATGCCTCTGAAGTCTTCAGTGTCCAGTCAGGAGTCCAATTATCATTCTAGTCCTAAGACATCTTAGATTCTCGTTTAACTGAGGAATTATCCTTAACCTATTGTCTAATGGATCTACATGCAATTCGGCCTGTTGCAAAAATGTTAAGAGCCAATAAACGTACTAATCGAATTTTTCTTAGCCAATCAATCAGCCTTTTCTGCTCTATATACCCTGGTACAAAAAAAGAGTAATTCTGTCTTCCCAAAGGTTTGACTGGGTATTGAAGCAATCCCTTTTGATCTCTCTGGCACATTCCCTTCTGAAAGACAGTGGCATATTTCCTTGGTTTATTTCCATAACATCTGAACCATAGTCAGTCTTAGAGTCATCTGTATACCAGATAGTTGGCATTAACTGAGATCCTTTTCGCCCAGTCTACTCTATCGGGTATTTTTCATGAAATTTCATATCAGATCATAATTTAGGGATCATGACATTTACAAGCCTACATTAGCCTGTGAATTGAGCATTTAGCCTTTCCCTGGATGAAGAAGTGGTGGTACATTTCTTGGGCACCGTGGAGGTCTAAGCATGCTATCAGCAATGAGGTTTTTGTAATACAAAATAAGAACAAAAAACACAAATAATGATTTTTTTTTAGAAATTGTCAAATATATTTCCAATCAATTAGTTAAGGTTTTTAGTTGAGATAAAAAATTCAGTATCACGAGCGGGATTCGAACCCACGACCTTCGGCTAGATGCTTGAGTTGTGTCCTTGATCCATGAGATGGGAAGTTAGTGTCCGAGTGGATTGAAGTCACGATAGCTCAAGTGGTAGAGTAGCGGTGTATCTAGCCAAAGGTCTTGGGTTCGAATCCCGCTCGTGACACTGAATTTTTTATCTCCACTAAAAACCTTAACTAATTCGAAGGTATTAATTGGTCAAGCGGACCATGAAAACTAGTGAATATATTTCCAATGTTTTGATTTTTAAAAAAGGAGATTAGAAAAGTAAGTCATTAAGTAGTTTTGCCTCATTCAAGGTCAAAGTTGAAAATGATAAAAACTATTCAAGATTTTTTTACCAGTTATTTAATGTCTGATAGGGACTTAATAACTCTTTTGTGTGTGTGTTTGTGTTTGCTGTTCTTCCTTATTTGTATACGGATATTAATCTAATTTTTATTATTATTTGTTGATATTCTGTTCTTTATTGATTTAGTTTAGTTCATTATATTTTATTGACTATTGGTTTAGTATATTTTTATTGACTGATGTCAGAAAACCTAAACCAAACAGCCTGTACCTTTACTTGACTGTCCAGGGCTTTATTTTAAATAAGTTTTTTTTCCTGGAGAAAACAAGTTTCATAAGTGGAATAGTTTTCTATATTATCAACCCATGTCAGCATTGCTACATGTGATAAATATAATCTTCTAATTTTAAAATACAAATTTACATATATTGCACGCTTTACTAATTGTTTTTGTTTATCCAACTTGGGATTTTAAGTCGGAAACAGGTTCAGATTAAAATATTTGGTTAGTACATTTAATTATTGGAATTTCAATTAGAACTAATAACCAATTTGTTATTTAATAGCAGTTTCTGTTTAACTATTGGACAAAATGTGTTAATGGATTTTCTCGATGTTACTAATCAAGGCAGAGGTTGACGGTAGTTAATTAAGCATAATAACATTTTTTAAAAATCCCACAAACACATTAACCAGTAAATAGTTCCAATTTGGCTCAAATTCCTGAGAACGTGTCAAACAACTTGGTTCACACATTAAATCACCAAGAAGGAAAAAATTAAACTGTTTAAATTGTTAAATTCACTAGTTTTCGTGCTCCGCTTGACCAATTAATATATTTAAATTAATATATTTAAAATATATTTAGTTGAGATAAAAAAAGTCAGTGACACGAGCGGGATTCGAACCCACGATCTTCCGCTAGATACGCCGTTGCTCTACCACTTGAGCTATCGTGACGTGGCGTATCTAGCCGAAGTTCGTGGGTTCGAATCCCGCTCGTGTCACTGACTTTTTATCTCAACTAAAAACCTTAATTAATTGTTTAAATTGTATTGCAAAGTATTAATTTTAGTTTAATTACAAAACTATCGATAAAGATCCAAAATTTATATGATAAATTAAGTAAAATATTTACATTCTGGAGAGTTTCCAATTAACTCAAAATTTTACACGTTGAGAATGGGCGTGTGTTTTCTAGGTTTTTGTCGGTTTGAATGTGCATGTGAGAGCCTTTTTTCTTTATGCATTTATTAGCGTGACTGTGACAGGGTCGATTGCGGAATATTTGAGGGCTAAATCGACCTATACTTTGTGTAAACTGCATAAGTAATAATAATGGTACGTGTTCAAGAATGAACGATGTTTCTCTTACAATTTGCATTTGAGGGTTGGAACGATCTAGTTGTCGATACCGACTAAAATTGCATGTAGTCTGCATTTATTATTTTCTGCATTGTCTGTTATTTGGATCGGAATTGAATTTAAGTTTCGCCGGCTGCTTTTGAGTATGTCAAGGCCTTTTTCTCTCGACTTGAACCTCGGAAAATAAGTTCAAACAGGAAGCGCGTCATTATGCTAAATTTTTCCCTTTTAGTTCAAAACCGCCCCTAATTGGGGTAATAAAAAGACAAACAAAAACAGACACTTTTATCAGACGTTATCGACCGCACTTCTGAAATTCAATCAAAGCGTTTTACCCCGAGTAAACACTTTAAGTACTGAGAGTAAAAAACCGTGTCGATCCTCCTGAATACGCCGTGTTTGGACAAACTGAGACAATGATAGTTGTAAAGTGTTTTTTTCTGTTTTGGTAAATTTCCTAGGACGCGGAAACCGGAAATGATTGAAACATTTGCCGAAACTAGAACATCGTCAGCCCAAAAATCTAACTACATAATAACGAAATTAATTTATTTAAAGCTAAAGGAGCTTCGAAAAAATTGGAAATTTGTTTAAAAAAAGTCATAATCAGGCCTGATACTTTCGGTAAACTATATGTTAAAACTAAGGTACAGTTAGTTTGATATCGTCAGACCTGACATTCGTTTTTCCAGTTTGCCGTACAAATTTTACTTTGCCAGACCTGACATTTGTTTTCCAGTTTGTCATAAAAATTTGATATCGTCAGAACTGACATTCGTTTTTCCAGTTTGTCAAAAAAATTTACCTTTTCAGACCTGACATTCGTTGTTCCAGTTTGTCATAAAAATTTGATATAGTCAGAACTGACGTACGTTTTTCCTGTTGGTCATACAAATTTAAAATGTCAGACCTGACATTCGTTGTTCCAGTTTGTCATAAAAATTTTACCTTGGCAGACCTGAAATTCATTTTTTTAGATTCCATATTAACGTTGTCAGACCTGACATTCGTTTTCCAGTTTGTCAAAAAATTTGATATCGTCAGAACTGACGTACGTTTTTCCT